AAGGAAATATGAATAAACGCACTCATCCTCATTCTTTGGGATTTTTGCCGTCCTTACACAAACTGTTCCCGTTGACGTTCGAGCGCCATAGCGCATTTTGAGTCTGGATTTATAATGAAGAAGGTAATATAAAGAAAGACATAAACACTTCTGATTTTCTGCATTTCCACAGAAATTGGGCGAACAAAGACGTTGTGCTTAATTTTCTAACTTTCATTGACACGTTCATTCTTTTCCTAATCAAATTTACAGACTGTGAAAGCTTAAAACAGTTCTGCAACCTAAAGCTATTGTTTGAAAGAATTGGGAGATGGAGAGGGAAGGAGGTGGGGGGTTAGGAATATACTATTAGGGAGGGAAATAGTGGTTATGGCCGTTATGACACAGCACCATGCTCGATTCCGGCTCCCTAAGCAGAAGTTCAGATCTCTAAGGACTTTGCTTGTTGCCATTAACAATAAAGCGCCGTACCGTGTGCCCTAAGCTCTAACTTCTACTTGACTTGTGCTCAATTTTTCTAACAAGCTTGACAACATTGAGACTTTCGGATGCGCTGATTACGAATATGGTATTATATTAGCACTAATATCAGCACGTCATTCTTGCTATTGATCTATGCTAAGTTTGTTGCAAGAATTAACTGCTGCATAGGGAGATGTGAAAGTAATTCAGTGGATTTATCTGTCGCGTGGATTTCGTTACCTATTGAAGTGCGTTTCGCAGGCAACATGCGACTGGAAGCGTGAGAAGGAAGTTTACTATATTTGTCGCGGTACATAATACTGTAACACTGCACCGTAACCGCAAGATTTCTATCCAAGCTTCTTTCCTGGGATCACTCCGTTGCTGCAGACTGACAATCGCGCAGAACACACCAATGCCAAGTGAAACAAATTATACATTGAAGAAAGAGCTGATATTTTTACTTAGCAAGCTATACTACAGCACGCAAACTTACACCTTTTTAGTGAGGTTTGTTTTATATAGCTACAGTAAATTACTTTTGGACATGAATAATAATCGAACTCGTGTCAAGCAACCTAAGTATGGGCTAAAGCGACGACAATTACTTTACAAATTAATCCTTGTCATCTCAACCCGAAGCACGCAGCTTATAACGCACGCTGTCGTGAATGTGTGAAAGTGACCTTCCGGTATAATGATAATGATTTTGATTATGGGTGAAGATATGAGGTTTTAAAAGTTCTTTTAAATAAACTTGCACCATTTGAAGGGCTCTGCTGTCACAATTTGTCTCAGCCACTACTAAGATAGATTTCCTCACGCTCAATATATGTATCATCGCTCGTATTTATATCACGCCACTAAGTCGGAGAACATCGTAAAGCGCTTTTA